TGTCAATTGCATAACAAATCAGGAACAGGACTCCTCAGCTTGGCACTGGACCCCAAATACAGGGAGAGAAATATTTTTATGCATGAAAATTTTAAAAAAAAAAGGTTAACAGAATAAAAACCAGGATATAAGATTAGGTAATCTGAATTTCTAGTTGGAGAAAATATTGGGGCTTTTTGAGTTGGAAGTGGGAGAACAAACAGGTATGTCTCCCTAAAATTAGAAAAAGAGGTGTCCCACTCTCCCCCAAGTGTCTGTATTCAATCAAAGGAACAAGGAAACAGTTACTGATTGACCAGTACAGGGCCAGCTTTCAGATAAAACATATGGGTTGCTTGAAATGTGTAATTGTGAGAAAGTGCCTTGCATCAAACTTCAGGTTTGACTGGATTTCTGGTCAGCATAACCTAGGTCCTTAGTTCAATGCCTTTAAGCAACATACAGAGGTGGTCCAGCTTCCTAGTGAGGCAAGGCCTCGGTTCAAGCAGCACAGTAAGATTTCCTCACAATTCTCATAACTGAATAAAGTTTTCTCTCAGGACAGAAATTGGACTAGATCCATAATAGAACAGAAAGGGAACTGACCTAGATCCAGAACTAAGTCACAACATGGAGTCAGTTAGGTTCACAGAATTCTCACCATTCCCTCACAAGAAAGAGAGGAAAAAATAATAATAACTCTACTTACAGATGAAATGTTGACTTACTTGGAAAACTGTTGAGAATCATCAATAGGTCAAAATAATATAATTATTAATTTTGATAAGGTAGCAGGATATAAAACAATACAAAAACATAATAAAATAACAAAAGAAAAATGCAATTCAAAATAATTTCTAAATATATAAAATATATATTAGTCTATATCATGTAGAGTGATAAAAATATTCTTTATAGTAATTGAGACAAACAACAAAATGATCAATTATGGTTGACTTCTACAAATATAAGAAAAATGACAATTCTACCTAAATTGATTTATGGATTTTCTTTGACATTGATCAAAGTATCTAAAGCCATTTTAGAGAACTAGGAAAAAAATAATAACAAAATAAATTTGTAGGGGAAAAAAGCTCAGAAATTTAAGAGAAATAACAACAAAAAAATAGTAACGAATACTACTTCCAGACCTCAAACTATATTATAAATTGGTAATCATCAATCTCTTTGATATTGGTTTACAAATAGAAAAGCCGATGAACAAGAATCAAAAACAATTTAACCCAATAATGCAGTGGTTTTCAAAATCAAGAACACAAACTACTTAAGAAATGACTCAACAAGATCTGTTCAAAAAAGTGGAAAGGAGTTTGCAACAATTGAGTTCATAGAACAAAAAGTTCCTGATGGATACCTGACATAAATATAAAAGGTCATATCATTAAAAAAAATTAGAGGAAAATGAGAGGAAGTGTCCCTCGTAACTATGATTTTAGAAAAATATTAAAACAACAGATAGAGAGAATCCAAACCCAACAACAAAAGCAACTTTTCAATGCTTTAAGTTGATTTTTCTTAATCAAAATGAAAATGTTGCCAAAATGAGAAAGAGGAATCAATATATTAAATATAACTGAAAAGGCCTAATATGTATAGGTGTACATATGTGTATGTGTGTGTGTATATATATATATGCACACACATATACACATGTGTGCACGTATATGCATGCATATAAACATATGCATATGTACACATACATGTGTGTACATACATACGTATATATGAAATTCATATATACAAGTAAGACCAAGTGCCATCACTCATTGTATATGGTGAATATATATCCATGAACATTTCTCAAAAATTGAAGTATAAATTATTAACACAAATATAAACATTCCTGGACCTGTGAAATAAAGTCATATTGCCTCTATCAATAAGGATCTGCAATTATCTTGAAACTTATATCCTTAGAGAGTTACATGTGTATACTGTGAGGTTAAGTAACTTGCCCAGGACAAAGAAGTCATATATCAGAGGAGTGACTTGAACACAGATCTCGCTGATGTTAAGGTCATCTCTCTATGGCATATCTAGATCACTCCCCAAAACCCATACATGTCTGTTTTATGTCTTCAAACATTCCTGCACGTCTTTTGTGCTGATACTGACCTTCAGTGATTTGAAGAATAATTTAAATTGTTGCCCTTCTGAGAAGGGAAAGTACTATCCAGTTTGTTCATTGAAGGTTCCAGGGTAGCTGGAGAACGTGACCTGTCATGGAGCCTTCAATTTCAATATTTCTGAGGAAAAGTCAATACGGAAAATTTGGTGTCCCTTATTTTTTTCTGTAATCTAGATCAAGGAGATGCCTGTAAGAATTGTTCATGATCCTGATCTTTCCACTTGGATTTTCCACTCACTTGGGAAGACTTCCCTTTGTCAACTCTAACTATAACCGTTTCTTTGGTGGTGAACTGTGATCATTACAAACTTCTAAACTTCCCACCAGTGTTCTTTTTTTCTTCACAGGATTTGAAGGAGCTATTGGCCTTTGAGATGGAGAGGTTATTTTAGATAGGGAGAATATTTGGAATTTCTTACAGATCTTTAGTCCGTAGAGGTGTGAGGTATGTTAGGAAAATAAAAAAACAAAAAACTAGAAACAAAGTAGATGCCAATCAAATGGATGATAGTGAAACAAATTTTGGTAAATTAATGTAATAGCATATTATTGCACTCTAAGAAATGATAAGTATGAGAAATTCATAGAAACATGGGAAGATTTGTATGAAGAAATATACTGTGAAATAAGCAGAACCAAGCAAACAATATTCACAGTGAAAACAATGTAAATTAAGAGACTAATTAGATTAACATGTACTATTATAATGACCAATCTTGGTGGGGGCCAGGGGTGGGGAAACTTTGGAAACATATTTCTTTCTTTTCATTAAAATGGAGAATGGTTACAAATCTGGAATATTGCATATAAGGTCAAATGAGGTCCATATATCAGTCAGCCTGGCTTAATTCTAATTCTATTTTCCCCCTTATTTACAAGGAAAACCTCACTTGCTAGCGAAAGAAAGGAGCACTGAATGTAAGTTAAAAGTGAAATGCATCAATGGAATAAAATAAAATTAGTGGGCTTGACAAGGTCATAGGTTTAAAGTTGGAAAGGGCTTTAGAAGTCATAAGAGTATCCAGTTCAATGTTTTCATGATACACTTGAAGAAAGTGAGGCCTAAAGTGGTTAAATGACTTGATCAAGTTGACCCAGATAATCAAAGTAGAATTGGGATTTAAACCCAGGTCCTCAGGCTTCAAACCATTCATTTCTCTATCTTCTGGCTCTAAAGCATATGATCCTCCCAACTCAGAAATTCTTTAAAATTTCCTTCTGTAGTGTGAAGAGAACATTTATATCAGTAAGAGTTTTGGAGCTTTCATCAACCACACAATGTAAAGTTGGATATTGTCCTAAAATGTCTATTATGTGATGTCATGTGAGAATCACACCAAGAGCATCCAGTGCAGGGAAACAAAAATCCATAAAAGATATAAGATGGGGACAATATAGTGATGTAACACAGGCTTCAAACGGAGAAAGAAAATAACATGCAAGGCAGGAGAGGGCACTGTTTCAAAGATCATTCCTTTCCCCGATTCCAAAAACACATCCATAAAAAATTCTTCTTAGTGTTCTCCTCTTTAAATCAGGATAAGGAGATCCACCCATATGACCACTGCACAAAGAATCTAGGTTACCACAATCTGAATTTTCCGGAGAACAAACCTATGCCCCAAGGGAGAAAAGAGAACGTTCATCTATAAAAATACAATGTACGTGTGTACAGTATTGAAAAGCATGGAAAGTAGAAAGTGTACAAGAACAGCGTACATACCCCGCCCATGTGATCACAGATTTAGACCTGCAAGGCACTTAAACACCCATCTAGTCCAACATCCTCATTTTACAAGTGCAACTATGTGACTTACCCAAGGTCTTATGAGTACTTCATCAGAATGTAAACTGTTAGAAGGCAGGGACATGCTGATTTCCTCTTAGTAGCTTAACAATCATAACAATAAATAAAGTGGCACACCTTTTCCTTTGACTGTGGGTGTGTTGAAGTTGATCTTATGAAGCAAATAACTCCTCACAACTTGCAAAAAACTCCATTGGGCCAAGATTTAAGCATACTAGAGCACTGCACTTCAAAGCATCAATTAGAGCTATTCTTTTATCTGTCTCTTTTTACCATACTTTTCTCTCCTTCCTTCTGCTGACATAGAAAAATGAACTGGATTTATAAAAATAGCTCATGTTTACATAGTACTATATATATCATATAGTTGTTTATTCAGAAGCCTATGGGTCAAGAAATCAAGGTATTATTACAATCCCCATGTCATAGATTAGGAACCTGAAAATCAGAGAGTTTAAATATATTCTTCCATGTTACACAGCAGGTTAGTGGGAGGGGCTAAACTTCTAGCCAAGACTTCTGTCTCTGGGTCAGTGTTCTTCCCATTATCCCTACCTCCCTCTATCCCTTCTCTCCCTCCCCTCCCCACCTCTCCCCCACTTTCCTTCCTCTACCCCCTTTCCCTTCCTGTCCTCTTCTGTCCTCCTCCTCAAAACAAGAGGCAGGGGAGAGGAAGAGAAGAGAAATAATCTTGTGAATCCCTACAATGGAAAACTGGGCATTGAATGGGTCTACTGTTTACTGAATTAAGAAGGTTGATAGAACAAGTTATTTTCTATAATATAAAATTCATGTATCAAAGTGAACCCCTCTGTGAGCCCAAGTAACTTAGATAACTTAGATAACTTCATGTGATTAGTTGTTTCTCTACTGCCCAAGAAAGTTGTTCATGAAATGGGCAGGGGGAGAGGTATCTAAATAAGGGCTCACTATTATAACAGGAAAAATGAGGATTTGGAAAAATGGGGAAAAGAATTCATGCCCAAGTGAGTTAAAATTTTACCACAATAATTTCCTCAAAATAGACTGATTCAAATAATATAATAGTGTATTTTGGGTACTTACGACCATCCATTGTCCTGGCCTCCAGATGCACAAGGTCTGGCTCCCTGTTTGACCTCATCACTGACCTGAAAGGGGCATACATAGACATGAATTTAAAACAATAAAACTTGTCCCATGCAGGGACTGTACACTCTTCATACCTCCACCTCCCTCTTAGAAGGTTTAGTTTAGGTTTCCTTCAATGGAAAGATTTTCTCCCCTAATACCTCAAGTTTTTGGTAATCTCTCCCTCCACAAATTACCTCATATTTGCTTATCTAGATTTATGTTGGACCCCACTAGGATATAAAATGCTTGAGGGCTCAGTTTCTTTTTTTTTTTTTGTCTGACTCTAGTTCATGTTTGTTATAATTGTTTCAGTCATGTTTGACTCTTTGTGACCCCAATTTGGGGCTTTCTTAGCAAAAAAATATTGGAGTAGTTTGCCATTTTTCCCCAGTTCATTTTACAAATGAGGAAGCTGGGGCAAACAGTGTTAAGTGACTTCCCTGGGGTCACACAGCTAGTAAATGTCTGAGGATGAATTTGAACTCAGGTCTTCTTGATTCCAGGGCTAGTACTCAATCCACTGTGCTACCAAGCTGCTGAATTGACTTAAAATTGAAAATTAATACAATGATCACCACACTGACCATTCTTGACTTGTCTTATTTCATCTAACAGCCAGGTCTCCTGCCTCTCAGTCACTTTCTGCATGCTTATTTTTATAATGCTACACCATATAACCTCTTAACTAATTCACTTTCCTATTGCTTTGTCTATGATAAGGTAGCCTTGTGCATGTGAATGCACACATGCACAGACACACATACATACATACACATACACCTTGAGTAAGGTATTAATGTATTTTATGGCCTACCTTTCTTCAAATAAGGGAACTGAGGCTCAGAGTCATTAAGTACCTTGCCCAAGGGCCCACAGCATGTAAGTGGCAGAGCCAGGATCTGTTGATCTATCTATGTCTATGCCCAGTTCTATTTCAAGCATCCTGCTTCCCACTTTCACATACACACATACTTTCAGTCAGTGTCACCTGACAGTAAACTAAACGTTTGGTGCTACCACTTCCTCTGTAAAACATCATCTTCAGGGTTTGTCTTCTCAAATTCATTTATTTTTCCTCATTTCCTGAAGAAATATTAAGTATTCTATGGTTAACATTTCTTCAGAAATGGAGAAAAACAAAAGTCTGTGATCTCCTCAAACAGGCAGGAGAAAAAGTTTGACCCTTTAATATCATTAGAATCTGTTCTGGTCACAGGCTGGATCATAAAGTGTTTTTTTTTTAAAAAGTGCTATCACTTTATCTCAATGCTCTGGCTAGTAATGTTGGTCAAGGCACTGAGGATTTCCTAAGCCTCCACTTGCAGAAAAGCCAATCGATTGGATCCATTGTTGATCTCTCTAGACAAGACCTCAGCTATCCATCAGCATCAGAGAAGGAAAGAAGTCTGCCTGACATCTCTCATGCTGACAAGCACAGTAGTTAACTCCTGTTATGTGAGAGCTTTGCGGGGGAGGCAGTGGGTTCCTGGCTTACTTTTCAAATCTATAGCTTCTGGCCTCCTAATTAGTGTGTTGCCTCCCACATGCAGAGTCTACTTTCTGCCTCAAAGTAGTCTCTAACTCTCAGGGAAAAAAAATGTGTAAAAGTTCATGCTTGAATTCCATCTATTTAGATTTCTACCAACAGGTGGCCAGCATAGTCTTGGGAGAGAATACATAGCTCTGATGAATTCAGCATCTTCCTTTACTGTAACCACAGCCCTCAGCTGTGGCTGAGCTCAGCTCTCCTCAAAAACTTCAAAAATATAGGCCAGAGATATGGTTTGTTTGTTCCCCTATCTCCAGGAGAGCATATTGTAATGCCTTTGCACATAATGAGCTTTTAATTTGTGTAAACTACTGACTTGATGGGCAGTATGACATCATTAAAGTCCTGTGTTCAAGTTCCAGCTCCCTTAGCTGGTATGTGACTGCAGGCAAGTCAGAACCTCTTTGGGCCTCCATTTCCTCATCTATTTAATGCAATAGGTTTTGCATTTGCCATCTAACACCTGATTGTTGTGAGTAACTGCTTTGTAAAGTGACATATTAACACAGGCTACTTTTATTATCATAGGATCATAGATTTGAAGCTGGCAGGCGCTGGATGTCATTAAGTCCAACAACATCATTTTACATATGAGGAGACTAAGACTCATGGAGTTATTAAGAATCATTCTGGCAGGAAGTCTGAGACAGAATCTGAATCTAGCTCAAACTCTCTATCCATTGCACCATGCTGATTAAGAACTATTTGGCATGATTTAGAATAATGCCTCCATAGCCACAATAGTCACATCTCCAACTTCACAGGGCTTTCCACTTTCCAAACAAGTATCTTATTTGATACACAAGAACATTTGTTGTTGAAGCAACATAGCCTAGTGGATAGAATTCTGGACTTAAAGTCATAACAAATTGGTTTTTAATCTTACTAGATAAGTAACAAAGCAACTAAGAGGTACAGGGGATAGAGTACCAGGCCTGGAGTCAGGGAGACTTATCTTCCTGAGTTCAAATCTGGCCTCAGACACTTACTAGCTGGGTGACCTGTGTGAGTCATTTAACTCTGTTTGCCTCAGTTTTCTCATCAGTTTCCTTCTCAGTTGGAGAAGGAAATGGCAAACAACTCCAGCATCTTTGCCAAGAAAACCCTAAATGGGGTCATGAAAAGCCATGAAAAACAATTGAACAAGAAAGCTGAGTGACTTTGGGAAAGTCAAATAACCATCTACGTGCTTCAAGCAATTTCCTAAGATACTGGAAGTCATAGTCAGTTTCTGATCTGAACAGATACAAGGAGTTCTCATGAAAGGAATTCCCCACAGTTATGAGATCATAGGTATATATACATACATATATGTATATATGTATGTATATATTTTTATATGTGTGTGTATATATATGTATATACATATATACTTCTAACTCTAAATACACACATACACATACATCAAATATAAGATCTTATAACAGTCAATAATATGTTTACATGTATGTATTTAGAGTTGGAAGGATCATTAGAGTTCATCAAGTCCAATGCCATGATTTTACAGATGAGGAAACTGAGGCCTGAAGAAATTAAGTGCCTTAACCAAGGTTACACAGCAAGTGATGAAGTCAACATTAAATTCAGGTTCTCTGATTCCAAATTCAGTACCCCTTTTTTTTTTTTACTATATTTTGCTGCCTTTCTTATGTTAAGTAATATATGATGTTTCATGTATTATATGAACAGAAAGCATTATTCTCTCAATTTTGCTGAAGAATTCAATACAGAGAGGTTACGATTTTTTCAAGGTCACACAATGAGTTATTAAAAATTAAAATGGCACATATCTGTATAGTACTTCAAAGTTTGCAAAATGCTTTACAAATATTATCTCATTTTTTCCTGGCAATAATCCTGAGAGGTAGGTGTTATTATTATCTCCATTTTACAGATGAGGAAATTGCAGTTGGCAGAAGTTAAGTGACTTGTTCAAGGTCACACAGTCAGTAGTTCCCATCTGAAGCTAGATTTAAAGTTAGTTGTTCCTCACTCCAGGGAGAATTCTCTATCCAGTGTACCACCTAGTTACAAATTATATACTAAGTATCATCATTAATTATTAGTAATTAAGTGAACATTTATTAAATGTCCACTATATGCCAGAAACCATACTAGGTGCTGTGGGGTACAAAGATAAAAAATGATGTTTTCCTTGTGGGAACTTGCATTCTATTAAATGTAAAAAAGGTACATTATGCACATAGACAAGTAGAACACAAAGTATGTAGAATACAATAATAGCAATGCAATTCCTTTTCCCACCAGCAAAATAAGTACATTGAATTACATGGTCTCTTTCAACTGTGAAACCTATAATCCTATGTAGTAGGAGCTTCAGAAAGGATTGTATAATGAGAACAGTGAAAAAAGGAAGCATTGGCTGGACTAACTTAGTCTCACTTCTTGGCAGTTTAAATCTGATTATGAATGGTCAATCAACAATTAACAAATGGAAGTTTACTTAGCCATACCTTAGAAAAGACACTCAACAAGGATATAGCCCTTAGCACAGGTAGACAAGGCACCCTCCTGAAACTGTTCTGATCAACAGGACAGGATGTGGTAACTCCTCTGACCTTCTTACATGGAATAAGTCTGAAGAGATCCTAACTCAAATAGGTGGGACTACTCTTGCCCTTCAATGAACGGGAATCCATATCAACAAGACCCACGTCCACCAGCAAGCTGACTCAACAATGAAACTTGAGCCTTAACTTCCCAATCCAATTGAGTCTTGGGAACAGCTTCTTTGCCTTTTAGGGAAAGAACTAGGTAAATCAATGGTAAATAATGATCCTATCACAGGAAGTTATGTGTGATACAGAGTCTAATGTTCTAGCCTCCAGCACTCAAGTCTCCCCACATTTCTGACAGGATATGGTACTAAAAAGGAGATCACAAGACCTGTCAAATCAAGTTTTATCATTTGAGGCAGGTCATTTTCCTGGTTAATCACTAAAAACATCATTATATGTATTCAACAAGTATTTCCTTAGTGTCCCCTATGTTCAGAACACTTTATTTGGTAGTGAAGGAGACACAGTAAAGAGTTAAACACCACTGGGATCCTCACAGAGGTTAGGGAAAATAAAATACATACTTAGGAAACTACAAAACAGAATCATAGGATTATGGCTTTAGAGCTGAAGGGGCCCTCAGAGTTCATCTACTCTAATAATCTCATTGCCCAGTTTAGGAAACATGGGCCCAAAATGAGATCTGATTCCCTATTCTCTGATTTAAGAGCCAGAGCTCTTTCCACTGTACCATATTTTCACTTTACTACCATCTCCCATTTACTCTTCCCCCATGAAGTAAAAGGAATAAAAAAATGAATCTGCTCTAGAAGTACAGAGAAAGAAGATATGACTTTTGGGGGACAAATGTGAAATTCTTCCCCAATTCCTTTTCATCCACAGCCTTTATGTCTAAACTTCTAAGATTATAAAGGGAGGAGTTCACAGT